CTTGTTCTGTTTCATTTGTAGGGGATAAAAAAAAAACTGCAATATAATAAATATTAAACATTTAGGAGGTAGACTTCTGATGAGCCAAACATTTCTAGAATTAAACTTTTTTCTTAACCTGATTAATCATAAAAAATCACATGGTGGTACACTTCTCTTTTTGTTTTGCTACAGCCAATTGAAAGTACCCATTTTTTATGATTTTCCCTTTTTTTCATAAATTTTTTACTCATATTGGAGTTATTATCATTAAAAACATCACAATTTTATAATTAGACTTTTGTTCATACTTTCACTAAAGATGAAGTGGACCAATCTGAATAAATTGAACTATAAAAAACTAAAGGTTGGTGTTAATATTAGAAAATTTTATCAAATTTTGTTGCTTTTTCGTGTCAAGTTGATCATGCTGTCAAGTATGTAAATTTGTGATTTTTGTCTTTTTTTTCACAAAAAGCATGTTATTTCAACTTCTTTGTTATAAATGATTGAAAAAATACATATCCAAGATTTTTGAAAAACAAATCATACGGGATTTATATATTTTTGGTAAAATCATTTCTTTGTACCATCACCTATTTTCTCAACATTTTGGCTGATGACACTCACCAGATTGGTTATTGTAATTACAAAATGTTTTCACAGAGTTTAGTTTGATTATAAATAATATTTTGCATATTCATTGATATTCTCCACTTGTGTCACATCTTTTGGAAAGAATTCCCAATCAAGATTTCAACGAGACTGAAACCTCAGAAGAATACATTCCATATATAAAACTTTGAATTCATTGCATAAAATGTTTTAATCCATAATTGAATCTGTGTAATCGTATTTTTCATACAGGCATCATGAACGGAAACTCCAGAAAACAAGACAAATCTGTTGATGAAATATATTTTGCTTAAAAAAAGTACGGGTGTAAAACGTTTTCCATACCGTGAAAGTGGTAATAAGTATACACCATTACTATATCAATCTTTAGATGGTGGAATGATGATCACAAATGACGTTATTGGACTAAAAATCAGACAGTTTGAACGAATGTATAAGTCATGTTTAGAAAGAAGGAAAACAAGAGAACAGTGGATACTGAACCTTAGATATCCTGACAAATCTTCAAATGAATATCTGGAATACTTACAAAACTGTACAGACAGTAACAAAGGTAAAGCATTTGTAATATTAATTTCTAAAGCTTTAGAAAATGTAAGTGTAAACGAGGTCTTGATGTAATACAAATAAAAAAACAGTGTTATGAGAGGAAACGATGCCATGATTTAAATCGAAAACCGTACGCCAAAGACAATCAGACAATACCATGGCATTAAAACAGAACCGACAGACAACAGTATGACTAAGAAAGGAAACTGACTAACAGACAACACCATGACTAGGAAAGCGAAATGACAAACAGTCGACACCATGACAATAAGAAAGTTAAATGACAAACAGACAACACCATGACCAAGAAAAGAAAATGATAAAAAGACAACACCATTACCAAGAAAGTGAAATGACAAACAGACAACACCATGACTCAGAGATGGAAATGACAAACAGACAACAACATGACTAAGAAAGGGAAATGACAAAAAGACAACATCATGACTAAGACAGAGAAATGACAAACAGGTGACACCATGATTAAGATATTGAAATGACAAACAACCCAATCTAAGAATAAGAAAATATAATGACAATACGGCAACACCATGATTAAAATAGGGAAATCACCATTAGGCGACACAATGACTATGAAAGGGAAAGGCCAAAAAGCCCGCAACATAACTAAGAAAAGGAAATGAAAAACTGGCGACACCAAAACTAAGAAAAGGAAAAGACAAACAGGCGAAACCATGACTAAGAAATGGAAAGGACAAACAGCCAACGCGTTAACTAAATAGGGAATGACAAACAACAAACACTATGACTAAGTAATGGAAATGAAAAACATGTAGCACCATGACTAAGAAAGGGAACAGACAAATAGCCGACATCATGACAAAGAGAAGGAAATGACAAACAGACAACACAAAGACTATTAAAGTGAAATGACAAACAGACAACACCATGACTAAGAAAGGGAAATGACAAATAGGCGACACCATGACTGAGAAAAGGAAATGACAAATAGCTAATACCAAGGGACATACAGGCGACACCATGACTTAAAAAAGGAAATCACAAACAGCCAACACGATGAATAAGAAATGATATGAAAAACAACCAACACCATGACTACGAAATTGACATGACAAACATGCAACACCATGACTAAGAAAGGGAAACAACAAACAGCCCACACAATGACTAAGAAATGTAAATGACAAACAGGCAACACCATGACTGAGAAAGGGAAAATACAAACAGGCAACACCATGACCATAACGCGAAAGAACAAAGATAATGAGAACACAAATTGGTCACCATTCACTTTTTTATTACCTACAATCGTAGACCAGTGGACGGGATGAATTAAATTGACAATATTATATATAAATTCTATTTGTGAAGAAAAATCAGTATTACACGTTGAAACGTATTCTTCGAAAGAGGTAGACTCAATGTAAATGTCAATTAAAAAGCAAGCTTAAGGTTGAGAATCTTTTCAAGAACAGGTATGCTATTTGTTACAATAATACAATACTTTAAAATATCAACATGAATATTGATGTATATGTTGTGTACAAGTTATCATTTTGTACAAATTATAATTTGTACAAAAAAATTGTACAAATTATAATTTGTACAAAAAAATTGTACAAATTATAATTTGTATTTTGACTTTGTACAAATTGTAATTTGTACAAAAAGTGCCTCTACAAATTAACCTTATTTACAAACTGCAAAGATAGTTATGTATCATTTGTTTGAGCATGTGAGTGAATTATGGCAACGGGACAACATATGTTGGTTACAAGTTATCATTTTGTACAAAAAAAATTGTACAAATTATAATTTGTATTTTGACTTTGTACAAATTGTAATAAGTACAAAAAGTGCCTCTACAAATTACAATTTGTATAAATTTGACTAAAATTCACTAATAACTTGTACAATAATTTATAGTTTGGATTTTGTTATAAAAAAGCGTTGATACACTCTATAGAAGTTTTTTCAATGACGACACAATTAACCTTATTTAAAAAATGCAAAGATAGTTATGTATTATTTGTTTGAGCATTTGAGTGAATTATGGCATCGGGAATTGAACAACATCTTTTGATGATTTTTCGTTTATATTTATAAGTACTGCATCCCCTTTGCATTTACATGAAAGAAACCCCTGACCACCAGTTTTTAACGGGTTTTTAACTGCTTCACGTAGCGAAAGTTGAAGCTCAGGAATTGTTGCTGCGAATAAAGATGTGTCTTTAACAGCTTCAATTTGATTTCTCGACAAATGTCATGTTAAAATTCATAAGCTTTTCCAATGCGGTATCCAAATTCCCGAGATCCAATAAGTACACATAAGATATTGTTGGAGAACGATCATACTGAGGAATTGGTATAATGACATTACACCCTTCAACAAGTTCTGATAATTTCCGTTTCGTTTTCGTGGTTAGATATTTGACTTGGATCTGTTGGACAGACAGCGCACGCTTTCTTGCCGTGTGTTCCTGGCACGTATTATTGGTGTTTTAATGTCACTGAGGACAATTTCTATTACTGAGTTCAATTTCTATTATCTATCAGAATTGTCACTGAGGCCAATTTCTATTATACTATCAGAATTGTCACAGAGGCCAATTTCTATTATATTCAGAATTGTAACTGAGGACAATTTTGATTATTCTATCAGAATTTTCACTGGGGCAAATTTCTAGTATACAATCAGAATTAACTGGCATGCATGTATCAATTATAATTCCTGTCTCCGTCTGGGTAATTTTGTATTTTGTAAATTATGTTTATTTTGTGAACAGAATAAACAATCTATAGTGTGTATCAGTACTTTTTTATAACAAAATCCGTACTTTAGATTATTGTACAAGTTATAAGCGAAATTTAGTCAAAATTTGTACAAATTGTAATTTGTACAAAGTCAAAATACAAATTAGAATTTGTACGAATTTGTTGTACAAATTATAATTTGTACAAAATGATAACTTGTACACAACATATATAAGATTTAAAAATGTATAGGTCAATTTTCAACAATAACATGAAATGCAAATTCTATCAATTATTAGGGTTGCAGTAAAATCTACACGAGTCATGAAATAACTCTTTATACATTAAGTGTGCTAAACCGCTTTTCTAAATCAACCTTAATCAGAAGCGCTTAACATTAAAGATCAAAGATTTCAAGTAAAAATACAGGTTATGCTTTAAAAACATTTTTTTTTTTATAATATTTCAACTGTTGATTAAGAGTAAATTAACAAAATATAAAAGTATTGGGGATACTTCATATCAACATTCAACATTTTGACAACAGTAAATTTACTATTTACTATAGCTACAAACAGCCAAACGATTGATTGTTTTATGTTATGTTAAAGTAATAGTTTTGAATAATTGGGACGATGATACATCGAGGACGAAATTGTCATTATGGTATATAAGGTATAAGTATATAAGGTTGTAATTTGCCATACCTGGCTAAACAAAGTCGACGCAAGACGTCAATTGCGTCTACATAAGGGAACAATCATTATTTATCAGTTGAGGGGGGTCATTACCAAAAATATCATACGAGTTGGGGGGAGGGGTGTGTTTGCGATCAAAAAATACTTTGTTTACTTAGGGGGTTACACAATTAAATTTTTAATTGCTAACAAACCTTTTGAATGTGAAAACAAATTTGAAATAAGCCCGTCAGCTGATAAATAATGACCATTCCTTAACGCTCAACATTGACTATCAGACAAGACAGAAAGCTTTGAATAAATCTAAGGGAGGATAATAATATATGTACCAACGTTATATAATGGTTTTAAGATGATTAGTAAATACAAATATTTTTATAGATGCTTTGCTTTCGCTTGGAAATGACTCCAGAGAGAAATACTTATACGAACAACTAGTAATAACAATTGGTACTGAATTAGATATACGAAACAAACAACGACTATGTATCGTACATGATAGAATCGCCAATGCATGTGCCATGAATCATGGTTGTACACAAATAACAAGTGGAAGTTTGGCAGAAGGACTTGCCTTGCCAGAAAGTGACATAGATACAATGTACGTTATCAATAAGTTAGAATTAATACAGAATGTAAGGAATATCAACCACCCAATAAACCGTGATATATTAGTTATGGAGACAGACATTGATCATCCTGGATTTACTAGAATCAGATTGGTAGCACAATCGGATCGAAATTCCTTCTTCCGTGTACTCTGTGACGGCTGTCCTCCAAATACATGGTACGGTAACCTATATATATCAGTAAACCACATTCTTGATTTCTATTTGCAATTCTACGAGCGTGACGAGCGTGTATGTATACACGGTCCATGTATATCGAACCTAAGTAAGACTGTAGACAACACATACTGCATAAGGAGTAAACATCTACCTCACAATGCACTTCAATGGACAGTCCGTCATCGACGGCAATGGCCGCCTAATTTTACAATTGACAGGATCAAAAATTATGGATGCTTGTTAGTACCTATAGGTCCCAAGACTATATCAGATAGTTACTTATGGAGATTTTCTTTCTCTGTAGCAGAAAAAATACTTGTGCATTCGTTTAATTTCATTCAACTCCTATGTTACGGTCTCCTCAAACTAACATTTAAGCGTATCGTTAACACAGACAATGGTGTCAAGGACTTAGTGTGTTCTTACTTTCTGAAGACTGCTTTATTCTGGGTCTCGGAGGAGGTGGATATTGACACTTTTCAATTACTTAAATTGAGTTATTGTTTTTCACTATGTTTTGATAAATTAATATCATGGGTAAAGATCTGCTACTGTCCGAACTATTTTATACCTGGACACAATATGTTCCTTGGAACAATAAATGAAAGTAACAATAAGACATTACTGCATGTTCTTGAAAGTATAAAGCATGGAGGGATTGACGGATTGCTAATGAATTTATTTCCACCTGACAATGAAATTACACAGAGGGAATCTTCGTTCTTTATGTTAGACTGTTTATTTTACAAGATTGCTAACAAGATACCAGTACCAAAAGACATTTCAGGTTGCCATAAATGTCTATCATTTACCGAATCTTTACTAATGTCTGAATCGTCTACTTTTATAACTGATGTATGTAAATATAATTATGCTAAAATCAGTCAAATTGTAGCACAATTACTACCTCCACCAAAATCAATAAGTAAAACGTACAACATACCTGCTCGTTATCATAGACTCTTACAAAACGGCATCAAAACAGATGCTGTATCGGGTTGGTTGTTATACGCGTCGTTTTATTATGTAACAGGACAGTTTAGTGTTACACTAAGACTAACGGATTATGTTCTTTCAAGATGTTCACCTGATATGCTGTTTAAGGACTTTGACTACGACTGTGAAAAACACACAAATTGTTACCGACAAAATGTACATTCTACAATGACATTGAATGACAGGATGAAAATAGCTACTGTATCTAATGTCAGATACATTAAGCATTCATCATTAATTCCATTAGAACTAAAGCTGGAGGTTGAAGATGCAGAAATACACATACCGCCTAATGTAATGTCTCATTGTCTAAGATATATATGCTTTCATCATCTTGGTGATATATTGAACAGACAACAGGCTTTACGTGATTTATATTTAATAGTGGTGGACAATTGTTCAATTACAGGTTCACATATATCTATTTCCTTAACCATACTTGGTGTATGCTATGAGATATCTGGCGATAAAGACAGAGCTTACCAGTGTTACGGAGAAGCTTTGCAACGTAATAAATTGCTCTCAAGTCTCTCAGCAGAAAAAAGGATTTCAAAACTGGATGGCAACTTATATGAAACTTGATTGTGTAAATTCATATTGTGCTTTATTATATCAGACTTCTTATCAATTATAAAACTCTTAACTTGTTGATACTGACAACAAGCAGCAGAAATACATTAGCTATACCTAACAACTGATAATGAATATTTTATTTCAGTAAATGAATTATCTGATTCCTTGAATAACATCCAGTATGTTATGATATATCAGTTGATTAGGATATATAGTATAAGTGTTCCGAGAAAAGTTTGCAATGTGATTTTTGTATATGTGCAAAAACGAAACTTGGGAAAAAAAAATTCTTGGAATATGATATATCTTTTATCATTGCAGTGATGTTGGCTAATTGATATGCATTTACAAATAGCAAAGAGAAACCGTGATGATTTGTGTGAGTTTTCTAATCCATTTGCTATATTGTGATATATTTGGAAAGGCACGGTTTATTTGTTATGTAATAATTTTATTACTATCACAGGGTTGATACCTCTCCTGGTGGACGGTTGATTCCCTAGGGTATCACCAGCAATGTAGCCAGTACTTCGGTACTGGAATGAAAATACGGATTTTCTGTTATTAGAATTTGCTATTTCATAATGCTTGAAATTATTTTAGATTAAGGAATATATCTCCCTCATGCAAAGCTCTGGTCCTTGCCCGAATTTGGCTATTTTGTTTTGTCCACTTTGGTTAATTAGGTCTTCATATTTTTAATAACCTTTTTTAATTTTCAAATATTTTGGCCTCGAGCATCACTGAAGAGACATTTATTGTCGAAATGCACATCTGGTGCAGAAACTAATTGGTACCGTTAATGTTATTCTACAATAAATTTTACTAAGTCTTCATCTGAAATGAGTGTTTATTTCGTCAAGACAGTGTACAAGTGTTATTTCTATAATCATGCTAATGGAGACCTACTTAATACCAGATAATCCAACACAACATTTTATAATTATATGTTAATGGAGACCTATTTAATAGCAGTTAATTCAACACAACATTTATCATTACGTGTTAATGGAGACCTACTTATTACCAGATAATCCAACACAACCTTTAAATAATTATATGTTAATGGAGACCTACTTAATAGCAATTAATCCAACACAAAATTTAATAATTATATGTTAATGGAGACCTACTTAATACCAGTTAATCCAACACAACATTTTATAATTATATGTTAATGGAGACCTACTTAATACCAGATAATCCAACACACCATTTAATAATTTTATGCTAATTTTGTAATAAATTATTTAAATGCGTATAATATTTTATATGGTAAATCAACAAAGATAGCTACATTGCAATTTATTCGGAAACATGTTTCATATCAAATATTTTTCCTCGTTATTAAGGCGAAGTGTACGTAATATAACTACTCCACAGAATTTTTTTATATTTTACATGTGGATTCTGCTTGTAAAATTACATCAGAATATAAAATAAAAAAAAGGGAGTAACCGTTTTCGTTTTTCAGATACAAGCTGTTACAACTAACAGCATGATACGCCAGAAATACAAAGGATAGATAGGGAAAATCATTAAAAACGGCAGATATTTTTACTTTATAATTTTTTCCTTATTCGTTGGTCAACAGAATTTTTTTTAAATTCGAAATACGATTCAAAAATAAACGACGAATCCATTGGTGCAAAGAAAGTCCGTAGCAACCGTGCTAGTTTTCAAGCTATATTCTGTTGAAGTTTGATTTTTAGAGGAAAATTATAAAATATTCGGCAACGTTATTGATGTCTGCTGTAACGTCACCACAAATTGTACTCTATAACGCTAGTATACCCATTGAACTGTACAGTATTGTCATACAATTCGTGAGTGTGTGTAACACATTTTCCTGAGTATTGGAAATGCTAAAAAAAATAAAAGCGTAATCGGTTGACATGGTTGATAATGATACAAACTTAAAAATGTTTATGGATATTTCTGCTGCCAAAATAATGCAAATTGGCAAATAAATATACTGCAAGTGAAAGAAAGTTACTGTATAGACTTTAACTCCATCTTTTCTTGATTAGACAGGGATTCACATCTTTTTTTTAAATATTTGTATTGTTCTAATAATTTTAAATAAAATATCGAGTTGTCCAGATTAGTACAGAATGATTCTATACATATTCGAAAAATTCGGTTATGATATTGGGATCGCTTCTTTTCATCCTCACCATTTCCGGCACTATGCGAGGTATTGCGTACACAACCCATTCTATTTGTCAAGTTCACACACGTCATGTGATTCTACAATTTTACTTGAAAATTTCCTGTCTCGATAGCTTTCCCTTTTCTTCAATTACACGACAAGGCATTATACATGGTATAATGTTTGCTGGAAATTCATTAACAAAGGAAATAATTTCTTGTACCATTATTTCTTAAATTTCCACATGTACGACTAATAAAAAATAAAAAATCTGCAAATGCATATTATCTTGAGAATGGCTGTAATAAGGTCAAAAGAAGAACCCGTATATGAATTTCAGCAAAATAAAACAGATCGGAGTTTTTTATATAACTTTCCGTTGCATAGATCACTGCCTGTGTTATGCCTTAGCATTGTGTGTATAGTAATGCTAAAGCCGTATTGTTAAGTCTAAGTCTAAAGCTTTGTGTACTATAGTTATATGCTGTAAATGTGCTGGTGTCATGATATAAATGTACTGGTGTCATGATATAAATGTACTGGTGTCATGAAATAAATGTACGTATGTAATGCTATACGAATGTACGTATGTAATGCTATACGAATGTACCTATATAATGATATACGAATGCACGTATGTAATGCTATATGAATGTACGTATGTAATGCTATACGAATGTACCAAGGGCGATGTTATGAGAATGTAATCATCCAGTATGATGCTAAAATTTTTCTAGTGTAAATTCATCAGATTGTATCCAGTATAATGTAAGGAGACCACTTTTAAGCAAGGATCGAAGCTCATAAACTCGGCAATAAAATCAGGACCTCTAGAAAGTTCGGAGAGCCGACAACCTTGCTTCGGAAATTGGCAAGGAGACTGTTCATAATGTTATGCTATACGAGTTTACCTTGCGATAGTGCCTGTATCTAATGCAAATAAATTGGGTTTTTTAATGTGATATAAAAATAAGGAGATGTGGTATCATTGCAAATTGGACAACTATTTGCCACAGTTTAAGGTAGATCTATCGGGTGTATTTTTTCTGAGCGTCCTTTCTGGTCATGTTGCAAAATTACTTATTTGTTTTACAAATAGTTTACCAAGTATCATTCAATATACAACAAAATACCTACAACTTGAAATTTAAAGATTACACTATCAATATTTATTTTTCAAGAAAATTAGGCCCGTGTTATATATATATATTTCAGAAGTATTAATTAACGAAATTATCTCTTCGAATTTTAGACAATTCTATCGTTTAATGTTTCTTCTATAGGGAAATCTTAATTTTACCCTATATAAACAAAATAAAATACCCAAAATGTGGTTAATTTCAATGTATTGTTACGAAAAAACAAGGTCCGCGATCCCCAGTTTTTATATTGAAATTTGAAATTACTTTGTCACTTGTTTATTTGTTTATTTTTAATTTCTGTTATTGTTAATTTCTGTTAAAATAAATATGAGCGGTACTATGTACTCGCTCCTGCGTGAGCCTAAAACAAAAACAGTTGCAGACTAACAGTAACACACAATAGGATACTAAGATTTCTGATTGGAGTCAGCTAATTTCTTTGAAATTTTGACATAGCACAGGAATACTTGTTTGGGTTCATGATAGACCGCACAAAGTCATTAAAATGATGATTTCTCTTTCATGTGCCCATTTCCGGTTCTTGGAGTAGGGGAGATAACTTGCGTAACTAACGACGCACGTTTTGTATCCCGAATTCCGCTAGAGGCGTGCAATTACGTATACTTCGCCTTAATTGAAGTCTGTTTATAAATTTTGAAATTATAAAGAAACTGACTTTTCAACTCCCTCAGGCAAAGTTTAAGATCCTGTTTGGTCGTATAGTTCTTCACCAGTGTCGATTCTTATACATCCTTAGCTTTCAAATATTCGGCTTTGAGCGTTCCTGATGAAGATTAATCCAGAAAAGCGCTTCGGACGCATTAATTCTATAATCAAACTTAAAAAACAATAAGATATTCTTTTGAGCTACCCCTAATCATTCTTGATACTTCTAGAGAAGTCTATTTCATCCATTCTCATCGACAATCAAAATCTAATTCATGTTCATGATCATCAAACAAAAGTCGACATCGAGTTGAAAACCAAAAGTTTATACGAACCTGTTAGATAATTCTCTTTAGTCATATCGATTTGTTTATTTGCAAAAGTTTATTCTATAAAGTATGGTGTTTACACATCTCAATTGATACGTTATGTCCGTGCATGTTCACATTATACGAACTTCATATACAGAAGTGTGCTCCTTACGCAGAAACTGCTCCAACAAAGTTATGAGGAGGATAGATTAAAAATGACACTCCGTAAATTTTATGGACACCATCACGCATTGGTTGATTTTTACGATGTGTTTGTGTCTAAACTAACCAACGACATTTTTGCCACTTCTTAGATTATGGTTTACCATCTACGTCGTCTGTCTGCTAAGTACCGAATATGACTGTTTTGCCGAGTGTGACTTCGCATTGCTTATGAAGTGTCTCGGTATTCATACATCCAACATTCATGTATTTAGTTATGATGATTTTTTTGTAATTACGGTTGAATATTGTGTTATGTCTTATCGTTTGTGGTTTCTGTATTTTCGGTACATTTCACATATGTCTTATTTGTCAGTATAGTTGAGTTAATTTACATTTTCCATGGATAAAGTATTGTGTTAGTCCAAAAAATTATGATTGTCACAGCATTAAATTAAAATAGCCTTTCAAGACCGTCATAATCATGATAATTATTTGGACTAGTATTGTGAAAATAATTGTGAATTTTTGAATCTCATTCCATAGAATTGTAGGAATTTCAAGATTATATACACGTCACAAAAATACGTCACTGTTTGTGATGTCCGTTGTTATTCTATGGTTTACATGTTGTAATATTCTATTATATTATTCATTTATGCATTTTTCTGTGCTGAGTGTTCTTGCGTTTGTTTGTACTGTATTCCTGTCACGTAGTGTTGTCATTTTAGCGATATATATCTATTAACATTGCTATATAAGCGGGATGTTTGGCTAGCCATAAAACCAGGTTCAACCCACCATTTTTTTCTTAAAATGTCCTGTACCAAGTCAGGAATATGGCAGTTGTCATCAAATGGTTTTTTGTCTAAAATGGAAGTGGCCGCATTCGTGTTCAGTCTCAACCTTTATATATGTTATGTATTTTCATTAAATACAAAATATATTTAAATATTAAGACTGAACACAAGTGCGGCCACTTCCATTCTAAACAAAAACCGTCTTAAAGTTAGCACAAATACTAAAATTGTGAAGATTTAAGTATTTTTGCATGAAATAATGATGCTTTTACCTGATGCATGTCCATTGTATTGTCAAAAACAGCTCATATTTATGTAACAAAAGTATTCTACTTTCCAATTAATATCTAAAAGTTTACATTTTCAACAACTTTGTAAAAACGCTATATTTTGGGGTCAAAAGGGGGGTCTTAACGGGACTTCTCCTTTGATAATTCCACAGTTATGGGACTTATTGATGAACAATTTGATATTTTCCCAAAAGTCGTACAATAACTCAACTTTGCTGTAATATGTTTTCGTGAAATTTTATCAAGAACCTAGAATTATTCAAAGAAAGCTGCTTTTTATTTATGATGATTTTAACTTTTGTCAATCAAGAGTTATGGGACTTAACTAATGACAATTGAACACTTTTCACATACTCAAGTGTGCTGAAATAGTGTTTTACAAAACTGTACTAAAAAGCTTCATTACGATATTGTATTTTTTGGTTATGGATACTTGATTTTAACTGATAAATTGAGTTTTTTTTTTTCTTGTTGTGTGAATTTGCGAAAGAAAGATACTGTTCTATTTTGACATAAAAATTCCTCACTGCATGGTTACGGGACTTTACTCGTCCTATTTCGTGTATTGTTTTAACATGTCACGCACTAGCTCTAGTATGCTTGAAAAAGAAAAAAAGAGTAGCAACAAAAAATGACGAAATCCATGGTAAATTCTAAAAGGGGGAAGTCTTTAAAACATGACAAAATCAAAGGTTCGACTATATCAACCAGTGGAATAAATAGAAAACAACTGTCATATTCCTGACTTTGTAAAGGCACTGTTGTTGATGAATACATGTTTGCCTTTTAATAAAAAAGGTGACCTCGGTGGCAAAGTAGTCTATGTAGTTCATCTATAGTAGCATCAGCCTGTAAACTCTGTAGTTTTAAGTTCGAACCCGCACGTTTCAAGTGCGTTCGACTCCGATCTCAATCGCGTAGAATTGAACGTTTTCCAGCTGAAGGTCGTTGTTTCTCTTTGGGCACTCCGGCTTTTCCCACCACAAAACATGATCGCCACCATATAGACAAGAGTGCTGAAAATGGCGTTACAAACAATCAATTAATCAATCATTGATCTGGAACAATACAGGCTTGTCTTTCCAGATTTACTGGACTTGTTAACAGTCATAATTAAGGCAACATTCGTTCGCCTAAATATATCATCATGTACGTTTTACTACAGAGCTATTTTATTAACTCCTGATAAAGGAATGGTTGGATTTCCAAATGTTTATTCAAACCTATAAGTCGATGACAAACTGACAAACGACAAACAACAAAATAACAAACAAAAGTATACAAAATACAAAATAGAACACTAACAGTGAGCAACACGAAGTCCAGCAAAAACAGGGGGTGATCACAGGTGCGCCGGAAGGGTAAGCAGATCCTGCTACACATGTGGTACCCGTAGTGTAGCATCACTACAGAGCGACTTTCTTTTGTAAACTCACACATAACCTTCTCAAAGACAAAAACAATTATCATGAAATGTTCTTTTATTTCCCTTTCAGAGATATTGATAATGTCCTCTCACACAATAACAAACACTTCAGTGAATGCTTAAATCTCATATGTTCTAGTGAACTTCAGATTAAGGATAATTCCGAAAGTAAAAGGTCATATCTTGATAGTTTCCTCGATGCTAACAAAGAGGGACGACATCAAACAAGAATCTATGGAACAGGTGATGATTTCAACTTTCAAATTGTCAACTTACAGTTCCTCAAAACATACCATATGGCCATCGTATGGAAATTAAATATCTCAGTTGAAACTTTACGCTCATACATGTTAACACAATACGGAATTGATTCACATGGGTGTGCTCTTTATATAAAAACTGCTCCAACAGAGTTATGATGAGTAACGACTGAAAGTTATACATAAGTTATACGGTCAACATCGACACAATATGTCTGTGTCTAAACTCACTAGCCGCGTGTTTTCACAGTCTTAGTTAAATCTTTTGATACCAGAATAGTCGTCTAATCTGTAATTGTAACGACATTTTCCTGTTCCCGATTGTGACATTTAAACTAAGTCTGGTTTAGCATGGTAGATGGTGCATTCATTTATTTTGAAAATTATCCGCTACTATGAAACGTCTGACCTAAAACAAATATTTCTTTGTGCACAAAAGTTAGCAGTTTCCAATATTAGCATATGACCGTTTAATCCTATGGAAACAAGTGTTCAACACTTACGATAAAGTTTTTCTTCTCATTGTTAACAAAAGCAGATTTTATCTGGATAATTATTACAATTCCTTTAAAATGAAGTTGTGTTTGTCTCTTTGTTTCTGCTTCCTTAAACGACTGTTTTAAATAATTCAAGTGATATTGAAGTATCAAGCAACGAATGTATATGACAGACAGGTTGGGTTTATATCTTTGCAATACATCATATCAGACAAGAAATATAACATCGCATGGAATAAGATCATCTCCGAGAGATTACGGTTGTAATGTATTCTTAAATTCTTCAAGCGAAGTACATTGCTTCTTAAAATGACGTAAACGTGTCAAACTCAAACAATTACCAAGCGTGAACAGGTTTCATAGAAAAACTCTTTGAATATATATACATATTGCTTTTCGTCTAGAGTCAAATCGTTATATGTTATTTATAGAATGTTTTGTATATAGTATATTTTTCTTAGTCTCAAAAAGGAAATCGTCGATTAAGCAAGTTAGTCGTTTACTTATTGTGCACTTCTACTGGCCGACTTGTTTAATTTTCGTTGATACAATGAACTAACGATATATTTTACGCGTAGATTTGCAATCCTCTTAACTTTACCATTGATTCTAAGACAATTTGAGACATTAAGATGGAATAAATGATCCGTTTCGTCTTCCTGAAGTGCCTGTCCCAATTCATGAATCCGTTCTCCTATGGTTTTTAATTGCTGTCTGTTATGTGTATTTTTCAGTGATGTAGTATAAAGAGATCGTTGGTTTTAATTTTGAATTATTACATCCTTTTCTTATTTTGAGGCTATTTATGTGGCATTTTACTCATTTGTTGAAGCTTTACGCTGATCTTCGATATTTCGATGTTGACTGATGTACCCCAATTTTTGACATTTTTAACTTTTATGTCTGTTTGTTTTGTTCACACATTGTGGTCAACATAATGTAATTTTATGCGACTGTCATACAAATGAGAGGTTTAGTTAGTTATAAAACCAGGTTTAATCCACCATTTTCTACATAAGGTAAAGCCTGTACCAAGTCAGGAATATGACAGTTGTTTTCCATTCGTTTCTTTTGTTTGATCTTTTGATTTTGCCATTTGATAAGGGAATTTCCGTTTTGAAATTTCCTTGGAGTTCGGTATTTTTGTTATTTTACTTTTTCAAATCATCCACCCTTGACCTATGCAAATTAGCTGAGTCTACACCATTCTGACTAAAAAAAAACAATAGCAGATATGATCTGAACAAGTACTTAACAATTCGTTTACCGGGAAGTTTGGTTTTTCTCTTTGTTTCATCTTCCTTAAACGACTGCTTTAAATAGTTCAAGTGATATTGAGGTAGTAACCAAATAAACAGAGAGAATGACAAGGCTGATCTGTAGATGTCAATTCCCATAATTGTTTGTAAGGGATTCGTTAATTATGATGCTTGATAACGGAAGTTAATATACAGATAAATACCTATACTTTAAATATTAGAATCTAATTCATGGTATTTTAATGATTACCATGACGACACGCAGTTTATCAAACGATAATCGTCATCGTAGAAATTGTATCGTCAATTATGTATAAGTAAATATAAATGTAATTTCAACCGTTTGAAGGAACTGAATTAGATTGAAATTAATTTCTTCTAGTTGTCTGTCCATAGACCGTTATTTGTATTCCCGCGCTTCATGGGATATAACCATTCAGCACGACAGGGCCGATTCGATTAGACGTGTTTCCCAGTTAAAATTTTTATCTTGCTTATGTGAATTTATTTGATGTTATATTTACTGTTTTGATTTCAGTAGTATTTATTAATTACTGACTATATTTTGTCGACATGATATTATGTATCATAATGTGCAATTAAAATCAGCACATGGCACTGTCGTGTGGATATTCAATTTGAACTTTAGTTTGGTTTTTATTAGTGTTATGTGTATAGAGTTGGGTAGTCAATGGGCGTTAGTAATCGTAGAAGAATGATTGTATACGTATTTTAAATATAACTAAATGAGAACATGTTTGCGCTCGAGTTATGTATTGTGAATAAGAAGTGTATACATTTAACATGTTTTACGTCTCGTTTGGCTATGTAGAAAATGTCCTCTCACTAAATAGTTCAAAATTTGCTGACTAGGTTGAACGCATTTATTTCAACAGATAAGGGATAACATAGATACAGATATACAGATACGGACGCCCTACTTACATCTAGAAATCGAATATTAGTTCTGTTAAAATAAAAGAAACAGGACAGATGTGATTTGGTTGTTTTTTGCGTGTCGTTTGGTTGCTGTCTCATTAATATGTGCCTCTTCTTTTGTTTATATCTAGAAAAAATATGTTAAAGTAGATTCTTTTCCCACATTTTTTCTATTTGTTATTTTTGAAAACGTTTTGATATAAAAATAAGGAGATCTGGTATGATTACCAATGAAACAACTACCCAACAAAGTTCAAATGGAGTGGATGTAAGCAATTAAAGGCAACCGTACGGCCTTCAACAATGACAAATATTTTAGATCTTTATATACCACAATGGTCGTCTGCTCTGTAACTTTACCCCATTGTGTCCTATTTCCGATTGTGATATTTTAACTGAATGTGGATTTCATTGACGGCGATGCCTGCATCATAGGAAACACTTACGCTATCGACGCACATATTTGATTTCATGCTATTCCTTTAGTTTTTGTTTCTGGTCTTGATTTGTATCGTCTAGGTTGATATATGAGATGTTCAGATCGGTAGACTACTGTTGTCTAAATTCATTTTGCAAAATTTTGAACATTGTGTTCATCATGTTCTTGGCCGAGTTATTTAGGCGTGTTAAAGCAAAAATTCATCAAAGAGATCGGGTTTGTTAATTGACACGCCATTAGTGCGTTTCGTCTACATCAGACTCATCCGAGGCACTCGAAAAAAATATGTGGAATGATAAATCAAATTAGAAAAGTTGTGCCAAATACGGTTAAGGCAATTTATGCTTGTTGTTAGAAAGCCTTTGTGTTTAGAATGATTCAACATTTTATAAACAGTAAATTTTCAGAAAAAAAATATATCAATGATTTTTCATGTCAACAAAAAAGTGCTAACTACTGGGCTAGTTATAAACTCGAGAAGAAACGCCCACCAGCAATGGCTTTGACTGATATGTATAACAGAAGAATAGTAAGTTGTGATATAAAGACAGGTGGGGACAGAATGCGTTGGTATCACATCTTATACATGCTGCATCCATCATGCCCATATAAAGAATCGTCAGGTTTAGCGTCTCGCTTACCAAGTTGATATCCAGTTAAATTTGATAAGTTTTTTCAACACTAAGTTTGTTCCAAAGTTTTAGTGTAAAATACAACTCGAATAAAATGGTTCTTAATAATTCAAAATTGAAATGATAGACTATATATTTGTGGGTAAAAAGGGTCTAACAAAACCTACTCCTTCACTAATGATTGCACCATCCTTATAAAGCTTAAAATACTATACTTGAAGTCTTATGATACAATTAGGAGATACATTGTAATTTTAGCTGATTATTTTGTTCAGTATTGGAGAAAGTAAATTCTGGATTTCAAAATGGCTGCTTCCCTAAGTTACAGACAAACAAACTATTGGTATTAATGGTATTACCCTTTCAGATGATGTCATTTAATCAAAATTGTGTTTACAAACAAATTGCAACTTTAGAATAATGTTTACCATCCTAACATAATGGATACAGACTGCGACAGCAATCAAATTTCAGTATGTTTTCAAGTAAGTATTATCCCATGTTAAAACAAGAATGTGTCCATAGTACACAGATGCCTCACTCGCACTATCATTTTCTATGTTCAGTTGACCGTGAAATTGGGGTCAAAACTCTTATCAGGCATTCAAATTAGAAAGATCATATCATGGGGAACATGTGTAGTAAGTTTCAAGTTAGACTTCAACTTCATCAAAAACTACCTTGACCAAAAACTTTAACCTGAAGCGGGACAGACGGACGGACGGACGAACAAACGAACGGACGCACAGTCCGAAAAAACATAATGCCCCTAAGTGGGGCATAAAAATTAAATCCTATTGTTTACATGCGGTTACAAAGCAAAACTTGTAGGCATATACTTTATTACAAAATAAATCCTGTACAAATATCTTTTTCTTCACACAATTGTCAGTTCTTTGTTAAGTTTTAGGCAATTTAGACAATCTTTCACAACTTCCTCAATGCTTAACATGGTGCAAATTCTTTGACAATCTTTTTGAAACTGTTCCAAGCAGATTTATTCTGAAAACAAACCTGCCCTCCAGCTCTATTCTTCTGTGGCATCTAAAATGGAAACAAAAGAGTGAAAACATACAGCTGCAGACCTAACACAAGTTCTAAAGGCATACAGGCTATAATCAGAATACAGAGGCATTTCAAATTTGATCACGAGATACTTATATTTTATATCGTTTTCATATATAAAAAAAAAACGTCCATAGTTTAAGTTAATTTCATATAGAAAATGGTTATTTCCATTTAAAAAAGAAAGGCAAAAGATATCGAAGGATATTCAAACTCCCAAGTCGTAAACAAACAGACAATGCCATGAAAAAAAGGAGAGAAAATGAGGGTCAGGATGGGGTTTACAGAATAGATAATGGCAAACAAATATTGAATAGAGAAAACTGAGCAAAGAATATAAAGAATAGAGAATAATGGGACGTAAAAGTATAAAGAATAACTGGAAAAAAATAAAAGAATTAGGTAATGTAATACAATACTGAATACAAATATGAACAATGTACAGACTAAAGAAATCATCTAAATTGTTTCAGAAAATTTTAATAGAAAGGTTTTTCATGAAAATTTACAGAAAATGTGTTTTTGCAAATTTAAAGAATACAGAAATTAAGGACATCCATCCTGACCCTCACATAAAGGACCTGCAATATATTGTTCATTACGGATCTTCTAAACATTGGATTGTTTCCATACGAAGGACGTATATATTGGGCAATTTTGAGAATGAGGACCTTCAAAAGATTGGGCTATTTCCATATGAAGGACCTAAGTATTGTGTTATTTCTAGAATAAAAACCTTCAAAAGATTGGGCTATTTCCATATGAAGGACCTAAGTATTGTGTTATTTCAAGAATAAAAACCTTCAAAATATTAGAGTATTTCCATCTGAAAGAAGAATATGTTTTGGGGTATTTCCAGAGTACTCTCAGATCTGTACTTATCATCTTTTTGTTGTTTGGATGTACAAGTACCCGTCCACGTCCACTCTGTGTTTTTGTTAGATGTATTTCTATTTGTATCCATCTGATGAGTTAAGCCTTTTTCAACTGATTTTTATAGTTTGTTCTTATGTTGTACTGTTATACCACTGTCCCAGGTTAAGGGGAGGGTTGGCACCTTCAAACTAGTTTAACCCCGCCACATTCTGTATGTGCCTGTCCCAAGTCAGGAGCCTTTAATTCAGTGGATGTCGTTTGTTGCTGTGTTACATATTTGTTTTTCGTTCATTACTTTGTACATAAATTGGGCCGTTAGTTTTCTCGTTTGAATTGTTTAACATTTGTCATTTCGGGGCCTTTTATAGCTGACTATGCGGTATGGGCTTTGCTCATTGTTGAAGGCCGTACGGTGACCTACAGTTGTTAATTTCTGTGTCATTTGGTCTCTTGTGGAGAGTTGTCTCATTGGCAATCATACCACATCTTCTTTTTTATATGTATATATATGTCTCTGGTTTAAGTAAACAATGACATCTAAAGAGCTACTTTTACATACGTCCTAAATTGAAGTGGTTGAATAGGTGGTCTGACACCTTTATAGATCTTAATACATTCGGATTGACCCGTCTTTGAGTCAAATACTAACCTGTCTATTTATATCGCCGATACACAACCAGTTCCCATTGTCTTTAGAGACAACCCATTTAGAGTGGTCTTTGGATGTTGAAAATTCTATGTTCTTATCTGGAAACTTCATTGTTTTGACATTGTAAACCTGTAAATGTACAATTTTCTTTGAATTTCATTAAAATAAATATAAATTTTAAAAAAATCACTTTGTAAAATACTGAGAAAAAACTAAGCAACGTAATCTATCGAGCTTCCTTCATACAATATACTTGTAAAACTGTAAACCGACTAATTCTGACAATTTCATAATTCAATTTTGATTAAAGTGCTAACTCCGGGCAGTCTGTTGATATGTGTCTGATCTTTTTAACATTTGAGCTGCGTCGGATAGAAATCGACCTTATGCAAATGAATATCAATGCATCTGTTAACTTACTTCAGGTTAAAAATATTCTATGAAAAGTCTGTAACTGTTTCAAAATTGAGTTGATATAAGAACCCTACACAACGGACCTAAATTCATCTTTTATCTCGTATTTGAATGTTCAAAAAGGAATCAAAGTCTCATAAATGTACATGTATACGTGCAATTGCATAAGGTCGATTTCTATCCGATGCAGCTCATTTGATGATTTATTAATTTATTTTTTTTTAATTTTTGTTGTTGTAATTTTTTTTGTTGTTGCAATTTTTTTTTAATTTCTGACTCTCTTTCTAAGACCTCATTAAACTTGTGCTGTATAGAACAGTTAAAAGGCAGTTTGTCGCAAGGTGTTTTTTTGTTTGTTTGTATCTATCCATGAATGCACTTACCTTGTACTATATAGAGCAGTTAGAAGGCATTTTGGTTCAAGGTATTTTCTGTGTCTCCATCCTAGACTGCACTTACCTAGTTCTGTAGAGAACAGGTTGAAGGGAGCTTTTCTTAAGGTGTTTTTTCTTCTATCCATGACTGCATTAAAATTGTACTGTATATGACAATTAGAAGGCAGGTTGTCTCGAGTTGTTTTGAGTCTCTTTCAATGACTAAATTTAGAACAGTAAGAAGGCAGCTTATCTCCTGCTGTTTTCTGAGTCTCTATCCGTAACTTCACTTACTTTGTACTGTATAGAACAGTTGGAAGGCAGCTTACTTATCTCATGGTGTTTTAATAACTATTCGGGACTGTTCTTCGAACAGTAAGAAGGCAGCTTATCTCCTGTTGTTTTCTGAGTCTCTATCAGCGACTGCACTTACCTTGTACTGTATAGAACAGTTGGAAGGCAGCTTATCTCTAGGTGTTTTTAGTCACTATTCATGATTGTACTTAGAACAGTAAAAAGGCAGCTCATCTCCTGCTGTTTCCTGAGTCTCTATCCGTGACTGCACTTACCTTGTACTGTAAAGAACAGTTTGAAGACAGCTTATCTCAAGGTGTTTTTTAGTCACTATTCGTGACCGTTCTTCAAACAGTAAGAAGGCAGTTTATCTCCTACTGTTTTCTGAGTCTCTATCCGTGACTGCACTTACTTTGTACTGTATAGAACAGTTGGAAGGCAAGGCAGCTTATCTCCCGCTGTTTTTTGGGGGTTTCTATTAGAGATAATCGAGTACTCGCTCGGAAAAACATCCACAAAATGGAAACACAAAATTATACACATTTCACGTATTGTGGGACGTTGTCTTATGGACGTAAAACCCTCAACATGATTACCCAAACCCGATAGATTATAGTTTCAGGAATTTTATACCATAATTAATAGCTCATTTACAACATGTACTAAATATGTAAACTGGCAATGATTTAATCAATTAATTAATAATATAAACATCTATAGAAAAATGATTACTCAAACAATAGTATTTGAAAATCTTAAAAAACACATTTAATGATCAACAAAGGGGTGCTGATTAAAACTTACTAATGCCTTTAACCATTTTCTGAGGGTTGACACAGGGTTCAACGAATTGATTTATATTTAGAAATATTAACTTGTAAGCTTTTTTCTGTGACGAGTTGATATCTCAACTTTGTTACGTAATTCACAGTTCTGCTAATGAAAATATTTGCTCTGTCGATACAGATAATGACTAAGACAAGATTAACCAAAAGTGTTAGCATTAGAAAGGTGCACTTGCTCATAGCCTACATATGCTCGGAGGAATTTTAAATGACAATGAACGTAAACATTCGAAACGTATTTCAATTTTGACTGATTTTGATTAATATCTAATTTCCAGGTAGGTGCTCCTAATAAAAATATTATTTCTTTAAGAATGCAACACATTCTAACAGGAAAACGATTAGTCGAGTATCGTTTTGGTATTCGATACTCGGTACTACCGAGCGATACTCGAGTACTCGAGTACTCGTTGACATCCCTAGTTTCTATCTATGACTGCACTTAACTTGCACTGTATAGAACAGTTGGAAGGCAGCTTATCTTCCGCTGATTTCTTTTTGTTTTTGTTTCTATCCATGACTGCTCTTACTTTGTACTTAATAGAAAAGTTGGAAGGCAGCCTGTCTCGTTGTATTTTCTGGGTCTCTATCCGTGACTCCACTTACTTTGTACTTTATAGATCAGTTTGAAGACAGCTTATCTCCCGCTGTTTTTTGGTCTCTATGTATGACTGCACTTACTTTGTACTGTATTGAACAGTTTGAAGGTAGCTTATCTCCCGCTGTTTTTTGGGCCTCTATCCATGACTGCACAAGTAAGTCCTGCTGAAGTTCTTTTGATAAGAAGCCATCATATAAATCATTCCCGAACTTTCCATACTTAGAAAAACTAAAGAAACCCACACCATCTTTTGTTGGCAATTCATTGACGTCACACCATGGCGGCTTTTGTACATGAAGCTGCCTTGTACCTTTGTCTACACTAAAACGTCTTAACATCGGATAATCTTTGTTGAACATTGCAGGAAAGGCAACATCGTATATATAAGGGAAAATGTATCTAAATACCGTTCCTGTGAATAGAATATTATTAGGACTAATATAAAAAATGTTTTAAAAAATGTATCTGTGAGAAAGCATATGTGAGGATGTGGATAAGGTTTCCTTCAATACTGTATTCTTTAAAATTTTAAACCATTTTTCTCTATTCTTTATAAATTTTGTTTATTATTCTCTATTCTTGATATATCAGCACTCCGTTATGCTCTATTCTTTACTTGTTTGCCTATTTTTTTCTATTCTTTATTTGTTGGCTCTCTTTTCTACAGTATTGGCGCATTATTCTCTATTCTGTAAACCCCATCCAGACCCTCATATATTTGAATAAAGACGTCTGAAAACAATAATCGTTAATGAAGTCTATATCTAAGCACAATTCATTTGAATATACATACATAAAGCTAAATGATGAGTAATGGGTATGTACCAATAAGTCAACAACCCATCAAGAGACAATTGTCAATGCATTACCATGCAGCAATGAGCATATAAATATATCTATAGACAAAACATGTGAATGAAGAATAAATATACCTGAGCACAGTACAAAGAATAAAGATATCTTAGCACAATACATAGGAATAAAGATGTCTCAGCACGATACAAAGGAATAAAGATGTTAAACAAAATTCAAAGGAATAACCATATACTAGTATTAGCACAATGCAAAAGCATAAAGATATATACACACAATACGAAGGAGTACGACACAAAAGGAATGAAGATATCTTGGCAAAATACAAAGGAATAAATATTTCTTAGCACAATACAAAGGAATGAAGATATATTACCACAACACAAAACTCAAGATACATTAGCACGATACAAAGAAATAAAGATATATTAGCCCAACACAAAGGAATAAAGATATCTTAACACAATACAAATACAATATATGTACATTGTCGGAAAATATAAAATTTATTTGTATGAGCTTTAGAAACAGGACGAAAAGCGAGGCTCGCCGAGTTTTTCTCCTGTTTCACAGCGAGTACAAATAAATTTTATATTTCCGACAATGTACATATATTGTTTTTATCCTGAAATATACACCCAACACTTGAAACTTTAGTTGTTAAAATCTAAATCATTGTCTCTATTTTTTTCAAAGAAATCGACATAGTTTAAACGCGGACCACGAAGAGGACCCCAAAATGAACTGGTACGCAAAAAGAAATATCCACATTACCGCTTGCTCAACATGGAAGAGGAGTAACAGGAGACTTTATTTGTACAAGTACAAATAAAGCAAAAAATTATTTGTGTACCTGTTATTTGTACAATAGTTGGCTAATTGCAGGATAAAAAGGAATAAAGATATTCCCCATTTCCATTCTCAATTTTATCTGAACACAAATCAAAGAAATAAAGATATCTGAACACAAATCAACGAAATAAGGATATTTTTAAAAAATACAAAGAAATACAGATATCTAAAGACAATTCAAAGGAATAAAGATATCTAAAGACAATTCAAATGAATATAGAAATATTAACACAAATTTATAAATAAATAGATATCTTAACACAAATTTACAAATAAACACAAGACAAAGTAATGAAGTTTTAAAACACAAGACGAAGGAATACACTCCAGTTATTATCATAAGACAAAAGAATGAAGATATAAGTGAACAAACCGTTAATTAAGACTTTCCACATGCCTATATCATCCTGCTCAGTCGTTTCGTAATTATCGTATCACGACATTCAGACCTCATCAGAACTTATCGTATGAGGTGAAGTGATAAGCGTGTGTGATGAGACTTTATAGACGTCATAAAATGAGAGCGTAACTTATCAAGTTTACTTTCGTTAGGACATCCAAGCATCACACTGTATTTAATGGAGACTAGGAAGTTACGTTAAATAGATTTTCGTTTTTCCCGCGTAAGGATATGGTTAGTTATAATTTACGAGTTTTCTGCGAAAGGAATATTGTTAAATATCAACCACGCGACACAATGTAAAGCTTTTTTGTCTCGTTCGATGCGTTTACTAGACAAAACATTTCGCATTCTGGCTGTTGGCTGAAGGAAACTTTTTGATCTATACATCGCACGACAATACGTGTGATTATATCCGAAGAAAATACGTGTGACGATATCTGGAGATACAAATTATAAATCTGGAGAAAATACATGAAACGATATCTGGAAACAATCATTGTAAGGATATATATAACAACAATACGTGTGAGGATATCTAACCACACATCTTGAGACGAAATCTTACCACAAAAATACTGAGGTTACCAGACTGCAATTCTTGTTACGATATCTGACCTTGATTTATGAAACCTAGTGCGAACGATATGCGTTTTTGGTATCACCATCATGCGTTGACTTGTACTTATTTACACTCTCGACCTTGGGTGTTTGATGTTTAGTTGTCTCATTGGCAATCATACAACACCTACTTTTTAAGGCAAGCTTTTGACAAAAATTTTGGAATCCATGTGCTCAAAACCTTTTTCATGTTTATAAGCGTAAGACCCAACAGTACATACACAGAACAACCAAAACCATATTTATAAGAACAACTTGACTTGTGATAATGTTATCATAATTACATTGTTTATATATATTATATTATATGACTTGAATTCGGAAAAACTGATAATCAAAATGTGCTTTTTAATTTATGCGAAGCAATATACAAAAGCACGGCCTATAATTTATATATACTTGCATACATGTATCTCTATTGAGTACACTCTACATTTATATGTGTCGTACCTGTACGATTAACGATGGCGTAGTCTAAAGATATACACAGGAAAGTCTGTCCATTTTTAGAGGCCTTATCTTGCCATTTGTAGCCATCAGACCTCAATGGCGGGAATTGAGGCGCGCTATGTACCATCCAAAATCCACCTGATTGTTCAAATCCCAAAACTCCTGAAAAACAAAACATTGCTATACATTTTTTTTATCAATTTAATTGAGTGCGCGTAAAGCGTATTTCAAAAATAGCCTTTATCAGATGTATTTTTGGTTTGGTGTGCTAGCTGCAACTATATAAATTCTTGATATAAGTTTAGAATTAAAAATGATTAATACTGCATGAAATTACTACGAATGTATCATTTCTTTATATACTTATCGCTGATGCATGTGTATTAGTGTGTTTGTTTATTAATAATTTGGAACATTTATTGTCCGAATTTTTTGTGTATTTCGCAATACAATGTGTTTAAACTAACTAAACTGTCATTTGAATCTAGTTGGTATCTAAAAGCTGGTTACACTAGGGTCAACCCTCCGGCGGGGGAAGACAGCCCAGAGCAGCGGTTTGTTTCATATTTTATTTATTCCTATTTGCGCCTTACCTACCCTTCTCCATTTTATAAAGTTACAACTTATAACTTCTAACTTCCAAATAGTAAGAATAAAATGTTCACACATTGTTTTTCATAAAAGTCTGCAAGGTAAACTGTAAAAAAAAACGTTGTTTCAGGAGCAATCTCAACTTTTTGAAATGCTGCGAGATCGGCGTCAACTTCCAGTTTTGCATGAAATTAGAGACAACTTATACATTTGTATTATATGTCTCTGATAAAATGCATATGAAACAAGGTTTTGGAGCATATCATGTCAAATGGCCGTTATCATGATTATACAAAATACAATTTCCTACAAAGAATCATTTAAAATGACACAGCTTAAGAAAACAAGCCTCTCTACATTTGTCATTTTTTACCTTTAGAATGTCCTCTTGGGTCAGCGCCAGTTCTATTGTCTGGTGTGTGATCACTATACATAAAATAGCCAACGTCTGTCTGAAATACAAATCACTCAAGTTGAGCAGGAAATTTCAAAACTATTAGGTTATCAAGCCACTAAAGCTTGTGCAATTAAAGATTAAAAAAAATAGAATATTATAAATGCACCGAAAGGAAAGTATATAACACTGTGCGGGACAAATTTGCCATTCCAGAATTGGCAAATCTGACTTTGTCGGTTTACAAGATATCAAAAATATTTTTTGCCCAAGTGATAGATAATCAAAAAAATTAAATTTCCCCATATGTCCCAACATGTCACTGTTGTCACCACAGCTGATTAAAAGTACATTTCCCATGGGATATTTAAAAATTCCCGTGGGAAAGTACTTTTCCCATGGGAATTTTAAAGTTCCCATCGGAACTTTACAGTTCCCATGGGAAAAGACGAATACAGAGAGTTCCCATGGGAATTTAACTTTTCCGATGGGAATAGTTTATCTTCCCATGGGAACAATTTTTCTTTCCACGGGAACAATTTTTCTTCCCATGGAAAAATTTGTCTACCTATGGGAACAATTTTTCTTTTCATTGAAACAGATATTTTATGTATGGAACATGTTTTCCGTTTGATTGTGTTTCTCCTAGAAAAATAAAAATTTGTTGAAAATGCAGGATTTATGTTAAATTATTGCAGTATGCAGGTTTTCTACAAAATGTCAATATGGTTTCAAATCTAAAGCTGCTCTCAACATGCAACTTCCATAAAAACTCTGATTATCCAGTTAAATATGAAGTAATGGCAAGTAAGTTTTTAAATAAGTTGTGCGTGTGTGTTGTGAATACAAATTTCTATTATTGAACTTATTGGAAAATAGATAATAAATGTTTAACAACTTTTTTCCGGTGCTTAGAAAAACTCCATTTAAAATTTTTTTTTTTGCAAAATACAAGGCCCATAAAACAAAAACACTATAACCATGATAACATGCTGAGATAATATTCATTTACAATCTGTATACACGTGCGTAATTAACGGGTTCTGGTTGAATGAACATGAATTTCGATCGATTACACACAGATGACGATCAATAGAGTGTGGCACATGTCGTTAAAACATTTACATGGTAATTACTTAAGATGTGATTATATAATTTGGAATTATTTTTTTATTTTTTTAATTTAAAATAACATAGCCTACTTTTATATTTCATGTCCTTTGTGGCAACTGTATCATCACATCAAGTCTCTAGTGCGTATTATTGAGGTGGTCATTTGTGGTATTTCTACGGACGTCTTTATTTCAATATTTTGATTCCTTTCGTATTATATTTTGTATAGGCAGTTTATGTAGATGAATTACAAGAACAGAAACAAAGTAAATTGAAGTCATATTATTAGTCTCCGTTGTATTGTTTTAAAAACTTAACATTGACATGGATTAGTGATTTCTGTGACATATACATGTACATGTATCAAATGTACAAGTTTGTTATTTTGAGGTTTTTTTTGTGTGACTTATCTTCGTTTTTGTTTTGTTTTTGTTTAAACACATTTTATTTTCAAAAGTAGCATATGGGATTGAACACAAAATACATAAGATAATAACGAAAAACAAAATAGAAATAGATGTAATACAAACTATAAACAAAAACGAAAACGCAATATGATATTTTTTGTAATATGAACTGGCGTGAAAAGTAGGAAGGCAGAATTTTAATTGTATGCGAAGTTCTGAATCTTTGTGTAATTCTGATATAAGATTGCACAGATTCAAAAGTTGCTTTACTTCGCTGAAATGTATAAAGGTCACAGTGAACAGCTCAATTGGTATAACATATCTTTTTAAAATCAAAAACAATATTTCTCTTACTTCATTGTGAAATGGGCACTCGAAAAAATTGTAAATACAATCCTAAACAGCATGGCTACATGCATGCAGGATTTAGTTTAATATTAACACAGATCTGCATTTGAGGAGCTTCGCATACTTCTGAACCATTAATGATATTAAGTTTTCTTACACCACAACTAAAGAAGAAGGGTGGGTGTTTTTAGATTTCAGAAAGTCCATATGTCGGGGTTTAAAATTCCATTCAATAGAAGTAGATGGGAAAAAAAGATGTTTTAATTATATCTAGTCTATGACGCGGGGTACTACATAGTTGTTACTAATTCGTAAATCATAATTTGAATTTGACCAATAATTGGGAGCATTTAATCTCAGAGATAATCAAGGGCAGTCTCTTTATGTAAAGAATATAACACAATGAGCTTTCTTGACTTTCTTCTGTCTACTAGCAATTTCCGGCCTATTTCGAGGTGTCAGACCACCAATTAAAAATCCAATCTGTTCAACCAAATTTTTCAATTTTCACAGCTTTCTAAATATTTAACCTTAAGTATAACTTCAAAGAAACCAGGTATATCCTGAATTGTACATGTATCACCGTGCTTTCTACATGCCAATTTTCAACTCATTTTTAAAGTCTTATAAGAAAATTCTGATCTTGAAAACACAGGTACTAATAACTCCCGGTTTTCTGGAAATATGTATACTATGTAGCACAATAATCCTGAATTTTTAATGCAAACTCATAGACAAGTGAATTTTGGCTCAAAATGGTCTAAATCTGGGACTAATATACTAACGTAAAGTCTCGTTCTAACTACAGTGATGTGAGTATTATTACACTGATTGGTGTAACGTTTCCAATCCCGTTAGTATAATTCCCAGTCTAAATATATTTCCCTTTCACCAAAAGTTTCATTTCTGCAAATTTGTTGGTTAGTTTAAGTAAACAATGACATCAAAAGCACTATTTTGTGTCAGAGTAGGGCTACTTTTACATACGTTCTAAATTGGAAGGAGTAATTGGTGGTCTGACACCTAAACGAAATATGTAGATTAACGACTGACATATGTAAAACTATGCATATTCCATAATTAGTATAATAAAGGTTAAGTTTATGCGATCAAGTTTATTTCTTTATAATGCATATTTCAAGTTTTCAAGTAAATATAGGGGAATTAATTGAGAGCAATTTCTTTTATGGATTCTCTCATATATAGTTAGAAACCCTAATTAACTAGCGGTGTTCCGTGTAAAATTGTTTCCAATATTTTTTTTATCTGGGACTAATATACATTTATAAAATCTTTTTATGTCACAGTATTTATATAATACCTTTATTTAATTCCTTAACTTGACCATCAGCATGGCTAAAGAAATTATTGCCAGAGGTACTGTGAGGTGACACTTCCAGGTATTCAAGCGATTTCCTGTCGGGCTTAAAAACTCTTATTACACGTAATGCAGGTTTACGCACCGCACCGCCTGCTGAGCAGTGTACGCGCGGACGGTAATTTGGAACTTTATTTTAAAAAATCATCTGTTATAATATACATCATGTGTACATTGATATACTATATATTACTAAACTCATACGTGTGGTCAATTTTACCACCAGTTGTTTATGAAATACAGTTCTCGTGCAATGAATGATATTTAATTCCAACCAAAGATTTGAGGAATTAACAATTTATTGAGATATTTTCCATCGGTAAAATTTGAAAATGTAAGTTTATACTTCTTGTCAATAATAATGGATATTTCAAAACATTCAAATATTAATTCACAAAAATGAACGCACTTGCCGATCGTTGGTTTAGAAAGATAGAAAGGTTCGGAACTAAAGATAGTCACAATTAAAAATATGTATTTTGAAAAAAAGACAAAAACCGCCAGAACAGATCTGATTTAAATCCAGGGTCCGTATATGCATATGGTACTTAAGTTAAGATTTGACCCGAACGGACGGATTTTTCTACATGTTCTACAATAAATTTATACTACGATTGGATATTGTTTTATGCATATATATCCAGATCTATATAGAACTTACTTTGCTTCGTCGAAAGTACGAATATAGAAAAATCACAGATTTTTATTTCAACTAGAACGTTTTAGAACAGTTAAAGAAATCATTACAATTGTTAGTTACTTTGTACATGCATAACTATAATGCGAACCATGTGAAATAGCACGTGAAATCCCAACTAAGCGTGAATTCTTTGGAAAAGCGACTGTTCTATTAATTCCTATTGTCAATTTCAAGTTCTGTTTCGACATGCATTGTAATATATGTCACTCGACGTTAAAATTCCATCATTAATTTCGTCTTCGTCAAATATTGCTGTTGGTTTCTTTTCTTTTTTTTTTATTACATATACATGAATACACCACAAGTTATTCCTATGTAATCTCATTTAGATATTTAATGCAAAGTAAATTTTAAAGATGAAAGTCGTATTAGTTCGATAATGCTTCAAACTAAATGTAAACTGAGAATATATGTATAACTGCCATATTCCGAATCCCGGACATTCATTTGTGTAAATGAAGAAAAGATAACAATGATCGGTATCTGAGTGAATCTACGTCTCAATCAAGCTTCATAAAGATATAACAGAATATTCAAGATTTACAACTTTTCTTGAATATGATTGCCAATGAAATAAACTATGCAGGAGATTTCAAATTAGCCCAATTAATTTGTTTGTGTACTTTAACAACTGAAACCGTAATTCTGCTGTAGTGCACGTCGATCGTATCTGTAGCAGGAAGGCGTATGGTAACCATACTACCTTACTAAGTTCAAAAGTACATAACAACCCTTTCTTTGTGCATTATACGCCCAGGAACATACATCTTACTATTTTGCATGGATTGGTAGCAAATGTTACTTTTCAACTGTAGTCCTTAACCAAAAGCGTTGTTTTTTTCTCCATCAGACAAGCTTGATTTTGGATCAAGTGATCATACAAGTACGGAGGCTAGGATTTATAATTCGGCTAGTCTGGATGACTTCGTGCAATACCCCTGCTCCGTATTCATTATAGTTTTTACTTAAATCATTTAAATTTTAGATCCTTCAGTTTGCATTTAAATATGATATTTAAATTTCGTATGGCTTAGTACAACCTGCAAAACATTTTATTTGATGTCACCAATAGTAAACATATAAAATGAAACAATAACTTACTACTAGTATACAAATATAGACTTTTGTTGTATGATTATACAAACCGAAATCACTACTAGACGAGGGGTTGACACGCTAAAATTAACAAAATTGTGTTTCAAAGAACCAATGCACCAAATTGATTTTATAGGATTTAGTTAAACATTTTAACCTGTTCAAGGAATGTATTACTTGACAAGAACAATTTAAATGTAGGACAAAATCGGCTTACAACACGAAATTTGTTCAAAGAATAGTACCAAGCATGTGACAAAATGACGGGTATGTAACAGAGGTATCGCAATTGCAGATGGATTGGTGGATAGTTACTGTTTGTTCAACGTTCAGTGACAAGTATCTCATGCATATTGCAAGACCAAACTAAGTTGGGCAGACGACAAAAGCGAAATTGTGACAAATTCGTTGTTCAAAATTTATTTTCAAGTGCTATTTAGGAAGTCAAACATGTATATGGAAAGTAAATTTTACTATTATTTATTGAATACAATAAAAAGATCAAAACCTCTAAAAGAAAATAAACCCGGTGAATGACACTCCTTGTTGTTGAATTCGGGTTTGGCTGACCTTAATTGATATTACGTTTTAAAACAATTATTGAAATTAAATATACAATTATTTTACTTTTGGAGGGGGGGGGGGGGGGGAGGGAGTCATTGACCCTAAAACATAACAACAATACAGGCTTATAGTATTTTGAAGCAGTTTTGAAGCATTCAAATATAATGAAACGTATGATAAGGCAAGTCGGCCCAAAAAAGATTGATATTTCAAAGAAAAATGTATAGTGTGTTCTCTGAGTGTGTTCATTGTAAACTTAAACCAGAATGCGTATAAATGTCACTATTATAACAGTCACAAACCACTTCTAGAATTAAAAATCAGCGATTTACCATTCATGCAATAATATTTTGTCGAAAGTGATCGAGATGCCCTTATTAGGTAATTCAAATTCTCGGACACTTAATTTTTTTCCAGAACACGTTATAGTTAATATCAGAGCCATATCATACATGTATTATATCTGGGACTATAATACTAAGTATAATAGTCCCAGATTATATTATCTGTTAATATGCATCCTTCTTTTAAAGTCTTGTTTTTCTTAAACACTTTAGGACCGTATATCGGGGGCACTGCCGAAAATAATCTTTCAAAAAGCAAATTTAAGTTTTAACCTTTAAAACTTGTATGTCAGATAATTTGACCACATGACAAGAAATTCTACAATAAACATTGGTCACGCACGACAGATTCCGATGTAAGACACGTACCGTTAAAATAGCCAGTTTACACGCATCAGCGCACACAGGTTTGTCGAATAGGCCAGTTGATTGGAGGAAAGTTACCGAAAACCTCGCCTACTTTAAACTAATACCCAATCAAACGCCTTTGACAGAAACATAAATAATACATGGATAAGATTACAGAGATTTGGTTGCGTATTCAATATTTGAAAAAAGTTTAGACTCTTAATTCAAACTTAGAAGTATAGAATATGCCCGTAATGCAAGTTTCGCAATTTTACAATAAAGTTTATACATAATTTCACCTACCTAGTGAGGAAAAAATACAAATTTAAAAAAATGTGCAAATTAAAACTATTTCGAATGTTCTCTATGTGTTATAGTAGTCTCAGTCTATTCGTACAAAAAATCATCAGCAATTAAAAAATCAAATATTTGTTTCACCTGTATCCAATCGGAAAAATAATTCAATTTAGTCTTTGATCTAGATGCAAAAGACGACAATGCTCCTTACAGTTAAAACAGTCTACTCCAAATTTCATACCGTATGCAGAGCTTGACAGATACCCATTACTGTCCTATGTAAAGTTGCGAATGATACATTTCTAGAGTACACTTCTTAATGGAAAAGAAAGTAAAATTTGTGTTGAATTATACAAACTTCTGTTTTTATATTATGCTAATAACGGAATAGAAACTAAGTGGATATCATTTATGAAAAATATTTTTGATAATTACGGTATGATCTGCGGTATGATTATGTCTAATATTATAGTTTGTGATAAATGGGTGTCAAAATTTATTAAACAAAAACCCAAAGACCAGTTTCAACAAGAATGCTTTGCTTTTATTGCAGAATCGCATAAAACGTAATGTTATCGTATTTTTAAAAAGAATTAAACGATTTGAAAAAATACTTTTCATTTTTACCTTACTAAATTCATTTATATATTATGCAAATATAGATGTGGTAGTCACCACTTGCCGATTGAGTCTGGAAGGTGGCAAGATTTACAGAGAGAAAACATAATCTGCCGTCTCTGTGACACAAACAACATTGGTGACGAGACAGTACCATTACATTATGAATTGTAGAACATTTAAACTATAGAAAGAAGGAAATATTTACGAAACTACTGTTAGTCAAACCCTAATATCTTTAAAGTTGATCAACAATTTAACTCATCAAATATTGTAATATTAGAAAAACTATGTAAAAGTTATAAATGTGAAAGTTAGTCCTCCAAGTTAATTTAATTGTATCGTTTACACATGCATGTAATACTTTTACCTTATAGTTATGTTTATGTATGTTCTCGATAACTAGTAATTGAAATTTTATGAGAAATAAAGTATTCGTATTCCTTTAAACCATAAATTACACGAAGACAGCCTACCGGTAAAGTACAAGTGAATATATCATAAAGTATATAATAAATCCTCATCCGTCCTTGTAAATGCAAAACTCTGGATTCTCTTTGATATTTACCTGAGAGATCATAAAAGACAAATCTAACAAGACTTTCAAATGTGTTTGCCAAAAATGAATTGAAATAAAAGATTTTTGTGCAGACGAGTAACAATATTGCATTAGCATGATTAGGAAATTTGACCAAATGAATGAAATAAACTTTAAAAAAGTAAGTGCACATCTTTCTAGTGGCGAAAACCACGCATGTCGAGTTACGTCGACGAAAAAGAATAAGTACATTAATAATAATTATGAAGTCAATTTCATGAAATTATAGGATTATAATTAGAAAACAATCTTAAACACGACTCGTGATTTCCCATGTATATAGATTAAAACAGATTTATAATTTTTATTCTTAAATTAAATTCTGAAATACAAAGGCATGGCTCCGATACTTGACAGTTCAGCGAACACTATTACATGAAATGCACGATGCTATTGATCGAAAACAAAGGTGAGAGATTCAAATTGTAAAATCAGCCGCTGGACGGTAGAATTTCTATCAATCATTCAACGGTAATAAAAGACTTTTGAGTGTAAAAGTATGATAGAAATACTTTTAATTTATTGAAATTACATTTTTTTTTTATCAAATGGAATGCTTGTTAAACTGTTCCAGTCATGGTTACTAGTAACTGCCAGTCCATTGCGATATTTCATAGCTCTTGTACAAATTCTGAAATAATGTTCCCATGGAAAAATATATCTTCCCATGGGAAGAATTTTAATTCCCATGGGAAGAATAAATGTTCCCAAGGGAAAAATGTGTTCCCATGAGAAGAAAAATTAGTTCCCTTGGGAACACAAATTCCCATGGGAAGAAACTATCTACTTATGTTCCCATGGGAAATTGTAGTTCCGATGGGAACTTTAAAATTCCCATGGGAAAAGTACTTTTTCCGATGGGAACTTTAACTTTTCCCATGGGAACTTCGAATATTCCCATGGGAATTTTTAAATTTCCCATGGGAAATGTACTTTTAATAAGCTGTGGTGACAACAGTGACAACGGTGACATGTTGGGACATATGGGGAGATTTAATTTTTTTGATTATCTATCACTTGGGCAAAAAATATTTTTGATATCTTGTAAACCGACAAAGTCAGATTTGCCAATTCTTGAATGGCAAATTTGTCCCGCACAGTGTTATATCTTGCTCAGTGCGTGGCACCTGTCATGACCACTCAGCAAAACAAGCTTCCAATAAGGAAGTCTATTTGAGTTAAATTCACTGCTCATCACAATGATGGACAATTTTTTTTTATAAGAATTAAGACATGATTTTTCAGTGGTTGTCGTTTGTTGATGTGGTTCTTAAGTGTTTCTCGTTTCTTTATATAGATTAGACCGTTGGTTTCCCTGTTTGAATTATTTTACACTAGTCATTTTGGGGCCCTTTATAGCTTGCTGTTCGGTGCGAGCCGAGGCTCCGTGTTGAAGACGGTACTTTGACCTATAATGGTTTACTTTTACAAATTGTGACTTGGATGGAGAGTTGTTTCATTGGCACTCATACCACAATTTCTTATATTTATGTACTGTTCGTATACTGTTGTTTTGTCTTTTTCGCTTTCTGCTATGACGTTGTCAGTTTGTCATCGCAACATTGCATTGAACTTACCTTGTTACTGTAGATTTGGTCGAGTGTATGGAACAAGGCATCACTCTTAGCATCTAATCCTCTGTCAGAAAGTGTCAGTTCAGGAGAATCATTATCCATGTAATAAAATCCCGTCCCAGCTTTGAAATTAGGATGAGTATGACTTCCCAGCTTAGGTATCTTGTACACTATGAACCTTGCAATATATAATCTATATTTAATGAAGGCATATTCAGTACTAAAAAAGAGAGGCAAAAAGATACCCAAGGGAAAGTCAAACTCATAAGTCGAAAATGAACTAACAAAAGACTAACGACAGTGTACAAAACGCAACATAGAAAACTAAAGACTGAGCAACACGAACACCACCAGAAACCGCGATGATCTCAGGTGATCCGGGTAAACAGATCCTGCTCCACATGTGGCTCCTGTCGTTAACATGTTTATGTTCTTTGTGTTAGACCGATATGCTGAGCTAGATTCTATATGTGATTTTACTGAAAGGTTAGCAGAATATTAAGGTTTTTCTACCCCCGGGCATAGATTTCTTAAGTCGTATTTGGCAAAAAATTTCAGAATTCAGTTTTTTATCTAATTTTCAATTGTTTTTTGTCAATTAAAATCCCCGAAGTGTTTAAACAAGTACAAAAAGAATGACAACTGTAAAGTTGCTATAGATGTAAGATAATATAAAGTTTTAAATGTTATAAGTTGACTTAAATCTTACCAATCAACTGGTTTATTAGTCTGCGATCTGCACTCCATACAAAAAATAGCATGAACAAGCATACACAGAAACACAAACACAAACATCGTTCGATACATGTTCGCTAAAATCAGAACACCATTTTATACAGGAACTAATTGACATGTGATTTTTTAATATTACTTCCTCGTTTTTAGTTATTGAGGAAATACAGTTAAATTATTTCCTTGTTTAAATGGGAAAGTTTTCTCACTCTATAAATTTATCCTGAACTAACTTATCTCTTTTAAATCTCCAAGGATAGATTGTCTATAGAAATATGATCATCCCCGAACTTACCCTATCCGGCAATAAAAGATAAACTAAAGAGGATCGTTCGTTTGGTTGTGCTGGATGTATGAATATGAAGCCATGCCCGGCTGGAAATTTGTGTAGAGAAAGTGCCACGCTCAAACTTTAATAACGTGTCCGTAGATAGCCTGTAACAAGGCAAAATTTCTGCGCCTGTCCAAAATACACTCATTTTCCAAGTCGTATTTCGCAGTTCTAATTCCGGTCGACCCATTTTGTAGTAAATACTTATAGATATTTTTGGTAATCTGTTCTCGCCCTTAATATGCATAAAGCATTTGCCACTGGACGATAAGCAAACAACAATCAATAAGTACAGTAATTAGATACTTGAACCATGATATGAATAGATTCAATTACAACTTTTACCAGTGGGAACGGACATAATGCTTTGAAACAATTGTTTGTTGCCACTCAAAAAAGACATGTATTTTTAATTTGATTTTCTTTTATAAAAAGCAAGATACTAGCCACTTATTATGAAAACATGAAAGATGCTCTTTAAATCTAAATTTAAAGGCTGTGTTACTTTCAGTGGTAAAACATTCAAATCTTAAGGGATCGTTTCTCAAGATTCCGAGGTCGCTGTGACCTTCATATGACAGATATGGCATGTAAATACCGGAGTGTTGTTAGATACCTGTAAGCTAAGCGTGGATAAAGGATAAGTATTACAATCAGATTAGTGTAGTTTAAGAACTTTTTTTGCGAAATACATTGGTGTAGTACAGGGGCAAATTTACTCCCACCCCTTGAATCCGCTTTTGTAGAATTTTTTTTATTATAATGTGAATAAATCTTTTGATATTATGAGTACTGGTATAGTATCTAGCATCTCATTGCAAAGTCTTTAATAATGACGTATTTAAGGGAAAAAACAGGCTTAGAATTGTGTGCACACCTTTATGTTCAACTGAATTATTAACACTATTTTGACCTTATGTTCAATTTGTTTATAATAATAAGAGGTATCGAGATGAAACGGTGCATATAATTTTAAATATCAAATTACATTTTACACTTTTTAAACTGAAATTGATAGTCATTTATTATATTTTGAACCCTTAAGGTATTTAATGTTTATATTCAAATAATCGTTCTATTATTGTTTAAAACTATCTATGAGGACTTTTTAATTTGTCATTGTGTGTTCTAAAATATTTGAAAAAAAGTAGAATTCACGATTTATACTAGTATTTTGTTTCGTTTGTTTCAGTTTTGTGTTTCGATTTGACAAAAAAATTCATCTGAATTTAGTTTTGTATTTCTGGAGATTATTTCTAAATTAAATCAGTTAATACTTTGATTTTTATTGAATTTTCGGTTCGTCTAAAGGTCAAGCAAGTGCATTAAGTTTATTTTTATGTGCAGCATCCATAAAAAATGATGGAATAATAATTTATTTCACCATTGGAGTGCTATTTGACTTGCTGTTCTTCGATGATTCTACAAAACAAAATGTTATAATTAAGAGAGTTCGTATGAATTGAAGACCGATTTGCTTTTAGTATACATGGGATATAATTCGCTCAGAGTTCATGATATAAATGGATGAAACACTGGTTGACGTAGGCGGACATGATAATGAAATATTCCTGGACCTCTCTAAAAGAGAAAGACTAGAATATACGTGTTCTATTTGGTAAGAATATTATTAGACTTTATATAAACAAAATTATATGATAGATAGATAGTTCATTCTCATAAAACACGCAGGAACAAAGATTAAAGAGAAATTCAAATAAGAATTAACATGCATAAAAAGGGTGAGATGAGATAACATATGAAAAATATACTTACACAGTCAAGTTAATAATTTTTTCTAAAGAAATAGTTAAAGTGCATGAATATGTTCAAATCAAGATTGTGTAGGAGGAATTATTTTACTGTTGATACAACTTATGAAATTGCAAAGCGCTCTCCGTGTCTTTGTTGTTTTTTTTAATTAAACAGCGTGTTAAATTTTAAAGATATATCTAAGTACTAGTTCATTTTATATAAGCCTTCTCCTGTCAACGAAAAACGAACGGACGAGACAAGCAAATACGTTTAATGTTTTATGTAATATCCAAACGAATCTAGAGAATCCATTGTAATCTGCTTTGTTTGAGTAAGTTTACAATGATAAAAAATTGCAGTACAAAGAGATAGGGCCAATATACTCATTACTTGTTTCACTTGCAGGGTTAGAATAAACAAGTTTGTGTGACCGACTTGATTTTAAAAAGAGTCTTTAAAATACACTGAAAAGAGTGTCAACTATTTGGCATATGTCCATGAAATGAAACTGTTCAATAGCGTTTTACAGTAATGTTGAAAACATATTTAATATACTTTTTATAAAATTACATGTCTTTTGTCTGAAATTTCGTATCGAAGGACATCCTTAAACAAATAACAAATAAATCAACTTGTTTTTGAAAGAAAAATACAAAAAAAATTGAAGAAATGCGTTAATTTTGGCAAAATACTGACATTCGTGGTTCTGAATTTGTATCAATGCCATTATTGTAAAAAAAAAAAAAATGAAAAAAGAGTAAACAAAAAAAGGTGATTATTTTTCTATTTTCCTTGATTTTGGAAGAAGTTTTCACAAAATAATTTATTAATATATAAATAAATACAACAACACAAAATTAAACTAAGCCTTATAATATTTTTTTAAGGAAAGTTAAATGAAAATCTATGAAGTTTTTTTTTAATAGCATAACTTGTATACATTTTGTTTATTTTCAGTCGATTAATTCTGAATCAACCCCAACAATGTTGTAACGGACATGTATATTGCTTGTCATGCGTCAAAGAATGGACTAGACGGGGGAACAAAACGTGCCCTACCTGTGGAGCACAGGCTACGTACAGTGATAATACTGATTTGAGAAATAAAATAGAGAGCAAATATGTACGATGCGAGTCTTCTATGTGTGCATGGAAAGGTAGACTTGAAAGGCTTAAACATCATGTTGCCGATTCTCACCATTCGTCAGAATCCAGCGTTAGTACCGAGAGAGACACGTTATCAACTGACGACCGAATAGAATATCACAAAGTAGCTAAGGAGGTTGACAAAATACACCATTTGAAAAAGGAGGTTGTCCAACGTCGGATAAAAAAGATGGAAAAGATTAAGAGACAAAATGTGTTAGATAGGCAAAGCGCACAGACGTTACCTCCTTTAGAATCAAACACTTCTCGTTCCGACTATTACCGACCACTTACGGATATAACCGACAGGAAAACGGACAAATTGCCTGCGATTGCATTGCAACAAGCACATACTAACAGAGGGAACTTCTATCAAAAACTGGAAGATATTGAAAATGTCAAGCAGAAAAAAAGGTCAGATTTATTTACCATGGTTACTTCATCGTATTATAGTTTATGATTTGATAAAAACGTGTATGAAAAGCAACATTAAATCATACGGCGATCTTACAAAAGTATATGATCAAATGCTATTCCTTTGAAGAACTATTGATCATTGGTATATTAATTTTCTTAGACGATTGCGATTGCAAGTTTCGTGCATAACGTTCAGGGACAAATATTTCTTGTTTATTTAGGAATCGAAAAAATAAAACAATGAATCGGTTAATTAAAAGAGAGGCATGAGATAATAAAGGGATATTCAAACTCATAATTCGAAGATAAACTTACATGCGGTATGGGCTTTGCTCATTGTTGAAGGCCGTACGGTGACCTATAGTTGTTAATTGCTGTGTCATTTGGTCTCTTGTGGAGAGTTGTATCATTGGCAATCATACCACATCTTCTTTTTTATATTAACAAAGCCATAGCAAAAAAACGAAAAACTACCAAAAGACAAAAAGCACTCTGCAAAACACAACATAGAAAACTAAAGACTGAGCAACCCCACTTCAGATCCTGCTTCACATGTGACAAGCGATGTGTTAGTCTTATAAATTGCGTTGTTTAGTTATATCAAGTGATTAGGTATCACACAATGGAGGATTGGTAATTGACTCGATATATGTAATGTTGACAGGCTATGGTTTAAGGATATGAACGACTTAGACCACTAGGCCACTGAGGTCCCTTAACGTCTAGCAAGGTGACACTCTCACAACACGAATCCTCCGATTTAACACCCCATTTCGAGAAGACTTGGGAAAAAAGTATTCAAATTGTGTATACTCCTATACATAAAGATAAAACAGTTACTAATACTTTAAATACCTTATATTACGTATTTCAGGGAAATAACACGAAAAAAACTGGAACAAATCGAAAGTCGAAAAGTTGCAGAAAGGCACAGTTTATACAGAAAAATACAAGACATTGAACAAAAACAACAGGAAAATAGATATAACTCTGAACAAAGAATTTTGCAAATAGAGAGAAAAATGAGGGAGGAAAAAGATGCTTTTCAAAGGAAACTTTCAGAAAAAGAAAAGAAAAACAAAGATGGACACGCAACATGGCAGAGACATATAAGTGTGATCAAGGTCAAAATGAAAAATGATAAAATGACCCCTCATAATATGAAAAGTACCATCAAACCGTAATAAAAAACTGGAAAATCTTTGTTTTTCGTTTTTGGATGAATCCGTCTCCAGAAAAAGTCACGGTCCTTCTTATTGTAATTGCCTATCTTCTAACTTCAACGCTTTTGCAGAATTTATACTTTCGATTTATTAGTGAATGCATTGTCGTCCATAATATGCGTGTAATACTTGTCACTTGACGTAAAGCAAACGGCTATTGATTTATACAACCTTTGGTCTCAAGCACACCTGAATAGAATAGTCATGGACACAATAGTATGGAGGAAAATATGTTGAAGACTCAAAAGTACTTTTGAAATATCTAGTCAGTTATAAGTGCTTTTATTTAAAAACAATATTCGACAAATATATAATATTTAGTTTCAGATTGCTTTAAAAGAGAGGGACGAAAGATACCAGAGGGACAGTCAAACTCATAGATCGAAAACAAACTGACAACGTCATGGCCAAAAATAAAAAGACAAACAGACAAATAATAGTACAGATGACACAACATAGAAAACTAAAGACTAAGCAACACGAACCCCACCAAAAACTGGGGGTGATCTCAGGTGCTCCGGAAGGGTAAGCAGATCCTGCTCCACATGTGGCACCCGTCGAGTTGCTTATGTTATTACAAATCCGGTAAATAGTCTAATTCGGTAAGTCACATTCGTGAAAAGGGAAGGGTATTGTAGTTACGACATAAGGAACATATCCGATATCATCTGTGAAACGGTAATTCCATAACGGTCAACCAACTCGTGATGGCGTCCGTAAAATTTACGAAGGGATGACTTCAACTTCACCATTTGGAACTCTTGGTTTAATAGCTTCCTTGTGAGCAGCTGTTAAAAACAATTTTTTTTTTAATTTAAACTATAATTATCTTTTTGACTAAGGAAAGTTATTGGTTTTTGTAATTATACCCTATTATAACTGTAAGATCGATTCGGTAATTCATTATTCATGCATTTCAATTATACATGAAATTATGTTGCTTATGTTACGAAATGTATGACAAAATGTAATCATTGTAGCTTTGTGTTGAATATTTTCACTATCAATGAATCTTATCAAAGACTATATAAATATGGACTTGATGTAAGAGGTAATCAGCTGTTATTTATGACGATAATATGATAATAAACTATATGTTTTTCTATTCGTGTCCTGAAGATTTATTCTTTATTCATCTTTTTTTGTGTGTTATTTTGCGAATTTTAAAGTATTATATTTAGTTCAGAATGTAATCAAATTTGGGATAGCAATTAAATTTAAAATCAGAAATTTATCGTATGTGTTTTGGGATAAGAAAAATACGCTTTGAACAATCCTCTTTGTTTTCAAATCTGATACAGTACAAGTTGTTTAACAACCTTTTACAGTAACAGTTTTGCAAAATTAATGATACCTGGATTAACACTAAAAGATTATTAGGAGATACTGGTATACGTCAATTAGACAGCATCCCAACGACACAAGAAATAAAAGACATTTGAAAGTCAGCAAACATTCCTCTACATAATATTTCAACATCTCAATCGTTCGGAGTGTCGAAAAGTTTAACAGTGACTTCCTAAGATCACATGCGCTTGGGATATCGACCTCTCTTTAAATTTCTACTTTTTTGTTGTCGTTTCTGTTTCTTTTCAAGTTAATTTTTATCTTATTTTCTTTATATCTATACTTATTTCCTCTTACTTTACTTGTTTTTGCTTTTATCCGTGCATTCTTACAATAACCGTGATTTATACGTTATGCTCCTCTAATCCTGGAAAGTAATAGTAGAGTGACAGCACGTACAAACTACAGCTATAGTAAGAGTGTATAAATAAGATCAAGAAGACATAAAATAAGGGACAGTAAGAAAATTTAATAAGAAAATCTCTTTAATGTAAACACATTAGAAAAATGAGGTCCATGCCCGATGCCCCTGTGCAAAATATCTTCATCAAAGCCAAATTCCTTTAATAACAAAATCATCAACATAATTAAAGATAACCAGTTGTAAGATACTTTTTTGTTGTTGGCTTATTGCCCAGTGGCAAATATTTCATGTATACTTAGGACAACCTGAGCTAGACAGATGCTAATAGTATATTAAAAAGTAGATACAAATGTCATTTCTCCGTAAACAACAAATAGCATCAGGCAAATTAATTTGAAAACCAACCCTAAAGACAATACAGAAAACTTTTTTTTTTTTAAATTAAACAAATCCTATCTCAAAGAATGTATCGAAGTTATTAACAAAGGACTTATTTTTTCCAGAGAATACACATTATTTTAACCGAATAATATGAAAGTCATTATGTAAACAAAATTAGCGATCAAAGTGAAACAAGAAACGTGGTAAATGGAAAGAAAGAAGAAGCACGTGATAAGAAAGTTAGTTCAATGAATTTACGAGACGTTACTACAGAACAAATGAATGCTATCAATTCAATAAGCGCGATTATTGATGAGCAAGAATTTGGACACCAACAGGCAGTACGAAAAGACGAAAATACCGATAAAAAAAGACGAGGCATTGAAAGAAAATGTAAATGAAAAGATTAATCGAGAAAGAAACGATTTTGTATATAGTGGCTCTGCAAAAGGAGCTCATCAAGTGGCGGGAAGACAAGACGAAAATAAGAACGTCAAAGACGAAGAAATTAAGGAAAACATAAACGAGAAGAACAACCAATACAGAAAGGAATCAGTATACAGTAGCTCTGCAATACCAGCTGTTCACGAACAAGAGAAAGACCCGCGCGATGAACGTAGCTAACATACAAAAATAAGCTTACTAAGGCAAAGGAAATGATTCGCGCAAAAAATGATGACCAAGAAAACACTGACACTGATAGTAGAATATTACCTTACACTTGGAAGCATGAACCATTTGAACAACAAAAAAGTCGGATAGTGGGGACAATACGTAATCTTGAACCAATCACGTCCCATATCCGAATGGAAGAAATTCAGTGGCAGAGGCTATTGGAACGGAAGTTGACAAGAAAAAATGACGAAAGGGAACTAGAACAAACTTATAGGGAAGAAATTCAAACACAAATAAGAAAAATAGAGAAAAAGAAAAAGACTGATAATCTAATGCTTAAAAGGAGAATGGTTGAATTTGAAAAGAGACGAAGAGCGAACAATTTTGCTTTTTGTCGAATGCTTCAGAGAAAGGATAAAGAATTCCAAATAGAAAATGATGCTTTACAACAAAGAATTCTTGAAATCGAGAAACAAAAACAGAAGAACGTTGAAAAATTAAAAACCAGAGTAAGTCACCTTGAAGAGAGGAAACAACAAGAACAGGAAGCATTTCTTCATCGCATGCAAGAATTGGAACACAAAAGAGAAGAGGAGTTCGAAGCGTCACAAAAACGTTTTCAAGAAATTGAAAAACGCAAATATAACGAAAGAAAAGCTTGGCTTTTACATGTTCAAAAGATAGAAGGATTAAAGAAGGAAGTTTTCAAGAGGTCTGTCCAGCCCTTAGACGGCGAACCCAGAACAACAGATACATTTGAACAATCACGTGACCAAGAAGTATTACATAATCAGAACATCGTTAAGAACGTGAAGGACCAAGCAAGAGTCATGGAAAATGTTAGTAATCGAATCACACCACGTGCCTTAACGCTTCCTAAAATACCAAAAACGAGGTCTGATAGGTAAGGTTAAAACGGATGGAGCAAAATCAAGAAAGAAAAAGGAAAAAGATTATGGCGATTTAAGTGTTACAGCAACTGAGAAGTCTTTACATAGTGGAAGCATACAAGATAATACTGAAGATTTAAGACAAAATGTCACAGTATCAAATTGAATTTACGTTTCTAGACTCCACATCATACCATAAACATTAAAAATGTTATATGTGTACATATAGTAATTACCAATAAATCAACTATGATGATTTTGTGTTTTGTATGTACCCCTTATAACTTTTTAGTCATATCAATGTTTATTTGAGGAATGTAATTTTAATCATTAAACTATAATATAAAATAATATGCGTTGCAGAAGTTTCTAACATATTTTGTCTCAATTTAGTCTTTCAACATCTTGTTTGGTTGACATTAACGTAAAGGAGCAATACAAGAGCTGTAGGATTAACTTGAAGGGATAGAAACCTCAATAAGAGTATTCACGACAATAAGTATCTATAATTATTAAACGGTATTGAATGCTTGGTAGTATAGAACATATTCTATTCAATCATTGAAATGGTTGTATTCGGGTTTGTGTTGCTCATACTTAATTTTCCGTGAAACGTCTTGTTAAGGATGTTCGCTACTCTGTTTCAAAATAACAAGCTTTTTAAAAGACTGTTATAAATTGGGAGTATATAAATAAAGGAACTAAAAAAGCAGAAAAAAATGAAGGGTCCGTGTGCTTGTTTTCGAGATAAAAGCCATTGAAAATTTGGCGGGAAATAATCCTCTCTAGACTTTTCGTACATTTAACATTGGCACCTGTTTTCTTTAAAAAATGATGAGAACATAACAAGGATTTTATAGTATTTTCAAATATGGCTTTTTAAACTATATGTAATAAAATTATGAAAAAGAAAAGTATGGGTTAGTGGGCAAAATTTTTAATGGCACTACATGGATAAAACCAGAGGATTCCGAATATCTGGCAAAAAATCTAAAACAAAAGGAGCGAACATCCTTAATGTTGTTTGTCTTTTCGTCGTTTATTTTGGCCACGGTGTCTGTTGAAAAGGATTTTTCTACTTGGTATCTTCTCTCTATTTTTACATTTAACAAAAATAATTTTGTCATCGAGGTAACCTACTATATATTATATACAATGATATTAAAAGTGTACCACATATGATCAATACAGAGTATATCACAGCCTGTCAATACTGAGGTTGTGAATTCGAATCCGGCACGATACAGTTATGTTCGACTCCATTCTTAATATGCTAGTATTGTCAGTTTTCCTACCGAAGTTTATTGGTTATATCCGGGTACTCCGGCTTCCTCCACCATTAAAAAACTAACCGCCACGATATAGCACTGGGTTAACTGGTTACTAGTCTTCAGCAGCTCTCTTGTCGCGTCCTGTACAACAGTGCTTAAAGTGGTCTTTAACAACAATCAATCAATCAATACAAATTCTCTAACAGACATTTATACAAATTTCAATGTCTTTATAAGTTATATTCTTCTGTGGAATTTGTAGAAGAAAGAAAAGGTACTTAACCATGCAGACCCATTTGTGTTACTATAGAACATATCGAGTCCAATGAATCAAACATTTGGCAAGAACAATGTATGCAAACACAGTACTGTAAAAGGTAATATTTTATTGTTATGTGTAGAATCCTATATTTAACATATAGTCAAAGATACTTATGCAAAAGCTATCGGCTTTTCTGGACTCAGATGAGATAGGGTTAGACATATTGCACAGTCACGTGTCTTTTGTCATGTTTGTGTATTTTTATCTCTAGTTGTGTCTTGTGGTTTTTGTCTTATATAACAATCAACCCGAAGGTGCCAAACATTTTTGTTTGGAATACAATTGTTTACTTAACTCATCAAAGATACCACGAATCAAGTGATTATAGAATAACTTGCATCAGGTAAGCTGGAATCAAACATTTTGATAGAAATATAGTAAATGTTTGAAAGCACTAATTCCTTAAGGGAACACAAAACACCAAAAGTGTCCGGAACCATCTTTTCTTAAGGGAATGGGGGACTTAATATTATATACCGAAATGATGTTATGAATAAAAAATTACAGACCATTATTTATTTGCATTATGCCGATACTAAAGCACGGGCTTGAAGGCAAATATTATTTTAAATTACGATACTATCATCAGTAATGACCAACTGGAAGCGAAAAACGTTCGATATGATTTCTATGAACGCGAAATGTTTCTTTAGAATAACTCCAAAAAATTACCAGTATGTGGAAATCCAGAAACATAAATCATGTGGCTGGACAGCATAACAAAGTCTAAACAAGAAAAACCATCACTATAAAGTTTTATCTTGTTTATTTTTCTTAAGAGCCAATCTGCCAGAAAACCATGCAAAACTGTCCGAATGTCACTTTTTCCAAATGAGTTCATATTTGGCATATTGGTGCACCTTAGTAATGTAAATAACCACACAAATTTTTTTGGGAAAATATTGAACCGATCTGGATATTTTT